ATATACACAGTGGTATATTACTCAGCCATAAAAAAGAATGAAACCTTGCCATTTGAAACAACATGGATGGATCTAGAGAGTACAGGGGTAAGTGAAAGAAGTCAGTCAGAGAAAGACAAATCCCATATGATTTCAGTCATGTGGAATTTAAGAAACAAAACAAATGAACAAAGAAAAATAAAGAGAGACAAAAGAAACAGACTCTTAACTATAGAGAACAAACGGTGGTTCCCAGAGGGGAGGTGGGCGGTGGGGGATTCGGGGGATGGTGAAGCAGATGAAGGGGATTAAGAGTACGCTAATCACGAGGAACACTAAGTAATGTATAGAATTGTTGAATCACTATATTATACACCTGATACTAATATAACACTGTATATTAATTATACCTGAATTTAAAAACATAAAATAAAAAGAAACAAAATAAAGTCAGCATTACCTCAACAAAACCAAAGACAGTACCAGAAAGAAAATAAAAACCCCATTACAGATAAATACACCTCATGTACATTGATGCAAATATTTTAGCTAATTGAATCCTATTGTATAATTATCATAAATAACATAAATATATAATTATATAATAAATAATTGTGATGATTGTACATGACCAAGTGGGGTTTATGTCAGGAATGTAACCTTGGTTTAATATTTGAAAAATTCAAACAATATAAAATAGAATAAGAAGAATCATATGATCATCTCAATAAGTGAAGAAAATTTCAACATCCGGTTCCTAATTAAAAAAAAAAAATCAGCCTCCAGAACTGTGAGAGAATAAACTTGTTATGGAAGCCCTAGGAAACAAATGCACCTTGCCTTACCAGTTGATGCTTTCATTACTTTTACAGTATTTATCTTACACCATACTTGTTTTTCTAACGACTGTTCTGCTAGGAAACATACTGGAATAATTTCCGTTGACCATTGCACTAGTGAACACTCAGAATAGCACCACAATCAAACCCTGCTGCTCTGCTTGTCTGCCTGATTTAATATGTTTGCCTTATCTTTCTCAAAAGTAATGTACACTTCCCAGAATTCACTTGGAAATTTAGATGATTTCTTTTTCTCATTCTAGGTACGCTGCTACCATGGCTCGGCTGGCTAGAGAAAGTAGAAGGCCTTCCAAAGTCAATTATCCAACTGAAAGATTTCATCGCTGCCCAACTCCAAGTACATTGAGTTCAGCCTATTTGTTTTGCTTTGTTTTTAGAACTAAAATATTAGTCATAATAATAAATGTAAATTTTTTTCAGTTCAGATAAATATAAATCTGTGAGACCTAATCTTGTGTTCTCCTTTTAAGGTTGCTTTAACTCTTTCTGACTAACCAAATAAATTCAGTAAATTATTTACATAGGAATTGGAGCTTGGAAAAAAATTGAATTACCCTTTGAAGCTCACCACCTCTAATAGGTTAGTGTACAATTTGAAAATCTAAGGCTAGGTTTCAAGGCATATAAAAGCATTCAAAACAAGAAAAATACCAAATAAACTGATCCCTTAAGATCACTGTAGATTCAGAGATATATGCAATATGGCTGAGAAGAAAGGAATAATGTTGGTTGAATTGTTTTTGGTGATCTTTTTTAAAATTAATGTTTTTTAAAGAAATATTTGGGGGACGCTTGGGTGGCTCAGTCGCTTAAGTGTCTGCGTTTGGCTCAGGTCGTGATCCTGGGGTCCTGGGATCGAGCCCCACATCAGGGGGAGCCTGCTTCTCCCTCTCCCTCTGCCATTCCCCCTGCTTGTGTTCCCTTCCTCTCACTCTCACTCTCAATAAATAAATATAATCTTAAAAAAAAAAGAAATACTTGGGATAAGTTGAGGGAGGGTCTTGAGCAGGAAGAAAGTTGGTAACTTACAATAGAAATCAGCTAGTATAGAGGGGAAAGCAAGACATTTGGGGTCAGAGAACTTGGGTTTAGATACCAGGTCTGTGCAGTTATGAGAAAGGCATTTAACCTCTGAGTTTCAGTTTCTGCATCTTCAGCCAGTACTGAGTACATAGAAGATGTTCAGTAAATACTTGTACCTAATATTCTGCCCTAACACACAGGATTCTTGTGACTAAGTGACTCCATGTATGTAAACATTCTTTGTGAACAGGAAAGTCCTAGTTATCACATTTCGCTGACCCCTGTCCTTCAAACACAAGAGCATGAACATGCCAGGCAGAGGCAGCAGCCTTCATTCAGTGGTTTTCCAAGAGCCCTGTTTCCATTATCTCTGACTTGCATTTCCCCAGCTCAGATTCTACTTTTCTTCCTCCTTCCTGGTTTGGTGTACCACTTAGACTCCCTCATCAGAGTGACCAGCCTCAATCTTTTCTATTCCACTCTGCCGCCTTCTACATTTCAGGGTGCCTGCAAGCCTTGGTGAGAAACGTTGCCTTTTCCAGCCAGACTCTGCTTCCTCCATGAACTCTCTGCTCTCTGCAAACTCTGTCCTCCCCACACCCTCACATCTGTACGAGGGGAAGAGATCTTTTGGTTGAGTTGATGATTACAATAATTCCTGTTCATGCTTTGTCAGACTTCTTTCTACAGCTCACATCTGCTTATGTTTTTCTGAGTCTAAAATCCTTTGTTCTCCATTTTGTTCAGGATAAAATTTATACTCTTTGACATGGCAAAGTCCTTAATGCTCTAATGTCTATCTGCCTTTTCAATAACATCTCTTCCCACTCTCCCACTCATACCCTAAACAACACACTCACTCTCTCTCTCTCTCTCTCCCCCCCCCAAAATAAATAAATAAATCTTAAAAAAAAAAAAAAAAAATTGGCTATCCTGTTCCACCTCCATAGGCAAAAAGGCAAAATATACTCCCTTGACCCTTGACTTTGAATTTTGCCATGTGACTTGTTTTGATCAGTGGACTATTGGTGGGTGTGGTATGCCTGGAGTTTGGGAACGGCTTGTGCAGTTTGGCTTGCTCTTTTTCACTTCTGCCATCATCACAAGAGCATGCCTGGACTAGCCTTCTGGTCACAGAGGAAGATGAGAGCCACAGAGCCGGGCTTCCCCAGATAAGCTCCCAGCCACCCCCAGCCCAGATAAGCCAATCTCTGGTGGACCTGCAGACATGTGATCTGGACAAATGCTCACCACTGAGATGTTGTGGTTGCTTATTATGTCGAAATAGTGAGCTTATACAGCATATGAAAGGGAAGCGTGACTCGGTTGAAAAAGGAATGAACTCTGTGCTCCTTTTTTGTAGCGGGGGTTAGCATATCATAGTTTGCTAATGAGAAAAATACATCAGAGATTTAGGAGGTAGGAGGTAGGAGGGAGGAAGAGGCCATTAATTCCTGAGAAATTGGCAGTTTCCTCAGACTGCAATTTCACGCAACTCTTCACAAACTCCCACTTTACAGATACGATGGATTCACAAATATCTCCATGAACTCCCAATTTTTGTCCCACTTTGGGTGGTTAGGTGTGTACAGCTCCTTGTACTGCCCCATGAACTCCTGGTTTTTCCACATCAGGCTAAAGTAGGTAGTGACTGCTTTTCCAGTTCTCCAGCTGTAGCCTTCCAGACTTTCACTCCCCTACATCTCCCCACACCTGTGTAATCCCTATTTTCTATATTAAACTCCTCATTCTTGTATTAGCTATAGTGCCTCTGTTTTCCTAACTGAACCCAGACTCACACAGAAGTGAATGAATATAAACCATTTGGCAATAATCAGAGCTCACCAGTCAGAACAAATTTTAATACCTTTACCAATTAAATTATTTTCAGACTAAAAAAAAAAAAAATATATATATATATATATATGAGTTTCCAGAATCCATCCCCAGAAAGGCATACAAACTCTATGGCAATTAGTGTTTGTGCTTTCAGAAGTTATTTTGTTAACATAGTAGCAGAGTTCCCACCTTTAGTATTGATTCCAACTAGTAAATCCAAGGTTTCTTGGAGGGATTTATAATACTTAAGATTTTCTGGAGGAAGGCAGTTCAAAATCATATCTTTTCTGTGTCGTAAGGAAATATTTTTATATTTGTTTTACATTATGCTCAGCTACTCTAGCCAGAATTTCTTTTTATGCTTCTGAGGAGGTTTTTATGGTTTAGGGTTTTTTTTGTTTTTTGGGGGGTTTTTTTGGTTTTTTTGGTTTTTTTTTTTTTTTTTTGGTTTTTGTTTGTTAGTTCTTGTTTTTAACAGAGCAGAAGCTAGAGGGCAAATGGTCAAAGTGATTGACTCTCAACATTCATTCCTGGCCAAAAACTGGTATCAGCCCATCATGGTAATCCCATTTTCCTTGCCAGGAACTTGCTTAGGAGCAGCGTGTGACACAATTCTGCCTGAGAGGAAGTATGCTGAGGGTTTCAGAGGGTGGTTTTCCTACTCTTAAAAATGAGACTCTGGAGAGAAAGACCCCTTTTTACCCTCTGGATGTTGCCATGTCTGATGTGAGTACTGGAATGGCTACAGCTCTCTTGCTATGAGTCTAAAGATGAAAACAACACCAAAGATGGGAAAGCAGATCAGTGGAAAGAACTGGTCCCTCATGATATTGTTGAGTCACTGGATCATTCAGTCCTGCCCTACCTCTGATTTTCCTCTTCTGTGAGATTAAGACATTTGCCTATTGTTTAAACAGGTTTGAATTGGGCTATGAATCTCTCATACCCCAAAACATGTAAATTCAGAACAGTCTAAACCTGTTTAAAAAGGACCTGAGTTAGTCTATCAATGATGTGTTCATAGAAAATAAAGTAGGTTTTCTCAAGGGAAAGACAGAATTTACAGTTAAACTAATGAAAGCTAGAGGTAAATATTAAAATACAAAACTAAAAACTCAATCATTGGAGACCTCAAGATTCTCCTAGGGTAAGGACAGCTGTCTAAACTCATAGCTCTCTACAAGTCTTTCTATAAAACAAAGAGACCAAGAAAACAATTTACTCATAACCCTTGTCCATAGCACAACTAGAAGGCAATGAATATTACAAGATTTATTGGATATGTGATTGGGGAAATGAACATATGAGACAACAGAATTTGTCCTGGATCCCTTACTAGGCAATGAATTAGGTGGCAACTGCAGCAAAACATAGATAGCATGACTAGGGTTACACATTCCTAAAAAACAAGTTCCCCATGCTGGGTAGAAATATTGAGCAATATAGATACTATATCTATATTCTTCCTTGAAATGTAATTAGTTTATTTCCCTATTTACAAGACCTATAGAAAAAGATGAATCTTTTTTGCATGATATAGGAGGCTTTCCTAATCTGGCCTCAGCCTAACTAGCCAGCCCCACCCAACTCTCCACTGTAACCCAGGGATTTGGGATCTGATGGACCTGGAATCAATTCTTATTACCTGGGTGTCCTTGGACAAGTTACTGTAGGTCACCCAGTCTCAATTTCCTCATCTGTAAAATAAGGATAGTAATCCTACCTGTCACAAGGGTCGTATCTAAGTTAAATAATATTATCCACGTAGACTGCTTAGCACAGCAGTTGGCTCAGCATAAATGCTGATGTGTCAACTCTGATTACCTCCAAACCTGTCAAGTCCTCTTATACCTTTGTGCCTTGGTATGTGCTGTGTTCTCAGTCTAGAGTGCTCATACCTTCCTTCTTTGCCCTTCTCTGTTCAGCAAACTGCTCCTCCTCTGTCAAAATCCAAGCCTGTTTTCACTTACACAACAGTTCCACCCTTGTGCTGCTGAAGCACTCTCAGACACTTTCCCTTCCATGCCTACTGGTGCTTGGTGGGGACTCAGTAATTACATGTTAGATGAATGAACTAACAAAGCATAAAGAAGACTGACCAGAATGGAAGGAATGATATATGACAAAGTGATTGCAAAATGTAAAATTTAGAGAGTTTTAAAAGGTTGTTTGCATTCACTACCTGATCTTAGGCTCTATCCGAGAAATGCAGGAACACATCTCTTTTTATTGTGTTCCCTGCCATGTCTATTAATTTTTTTTAAAGATTTTATTTATTTATTCATGAGAGACAGAGAGAGAGAGAGAGAGAGAGAGAAGCAGAGGGAGAAGCAGGCTCCCAAGGAGCAGGGAGCCCGATGCGGGACTTGATCCCAGGACCCTGGGATCATGACCTGAGCCGAAGGCAGACGCTTAACCATCTGAGCCACCCAGGCACCCTCTATTAATTTTTTTTATATTTCCTCTTATAGTTCAAAATTTTGCTGACTCACAGACTGAAATGGATATTGTCATGAAAAAGGAGAGGTGGAGGAGTGTAGCTTTACCAGATGATGATAATGCGAATGAGTCGTGGGAAGAAGAAGCAGAAGACCTGGTCGCCTGGACCAACACTCTTGATATAGACGTTTTAGAAGATTCAGCCTGATGCTCCAGGATTTAAAACCACAGCTCGGCTTCATGAGGCAACTTTGGAACTTGGATTCCATTTTTTTTTTTTTGAAGTTGGCCTCATGCTCTCATGTCAAGTACACATTAGAAATATAAGTACAAATCAGTGAGTATGTTTCTTTGAATTTTTTGAGCCTCTACTTCATTGTTTGAAGCTAAGTTAACCAAATTAGGGATATTCATTATGGCATTTCAATCAATGGTATTACAGTTGTTAGGCTATGGGATGCAAGTTTTTGCAGGCAGGGGCAGGATAGGAGTCAGGTAGAGGCTGGGATAGGAGGGGAGCGCTTGGGAGCTTCAAAGCCTGGACATTAACCAAAGAGAGGGATCTTTACAGAGGTCTACATCTGCCTGGTTTAGTGTCATGTTTCCTCCATATTCAGGGGATGAGATGTCATCCATCCACCAATGTTCCTCTTCTGTTTTCTCTCAGAAAACATGTTCTGTTTCCTCTTGGACCTTATCCCCTCATATTCTCATATCTTTATTTTCTTCCTCTCTTTTTGCTGCATTGTCTCAACCTGAAAATGTACTCGGGTCTCTCCTATTTTAAAATATGTCTCCACCTTTGACCCTATATTTCTACTTCCCTCAGCACTATATTATTCAGGGGCACCTGGCTGGCTCAGTTGGTGGAGCATGGGACTCTTGATCTCAGGGTTGTAAGTTTGAGCCCCATGCTGGGTGTAGAGATTAAAAATAAAATCTTTAAAAAACAAAAGCAAACACTATATTATTCATATTTTCTCAGTTATGTTTATTGATAACAGTCTATCATTTGCCATCTTTATTTCTTAGGTTCACTTCCCATTTGCATTCCACTGCACAATAAAATCTGTCTTCTGCTTATATTACTTGATTAAAATTCACTAGGATCACCGAAGACTTCCATATTGCCAAAATACAATAGCTACCTTATCTTACTGGCCACAGTAAGGCTATATTCGATATTATTGATCACTTCTATCTCTCATTTTTAATGTTTATTGCCTCACCTTTAAAGAGGCTTGTTTTGAGGCCACCTACCTATACACACATCTCTTCCCGCAAACACCATAAATATGTATACTTATAAATATGTTAGCTATATAGAGACATAGATAGATGCCTGACCTTGGATCTAGTTGTTAAATAGGTCCCTCCTTCATTTCTTAAGAACCTGATTTTACTTCCTATGAAAAAAGAAAAAGTTGTTATATGTACTCTAGTGTCTGGACATTTCCCTGGCTAGCTAGATGTTTTCAAGTCTGCCTGTGGTAGTTCAGACAATAAGGCCCCAAGTGATTGTAGTGCCTAACACTTTTATTACCCTCCACAACCAGAACCACAAAATTCTAGCAGCTCTCCCAGATTTTCCCTCCTTTTGTCAATGCCAAAATACAGCGAAGACCCAACTTCATGATCCCGCCCAACTTGATAACAATCAGAGTTATTTTTATACCAATAAAAAGTACCATTGTGAATGGCCCATCCAATACCTCAATGAAATTATAGAATGTGGTCAAAAGGCATTTTACTGATGGTCACACTGTTGGAGGCTGGGCCTCTGACTCTTCTCTTGTGGTTTTCTAGGAGGACAAACATGTAGATTGTCAACAGATATACAGTAGTCACCAAGAAATTAAACCCAAAAGGACCATGACAGTCAACCAAAAATATGTCCTTGATATCAGCTGTCATATATTGTACTTTATTCTTTTCATTTAATCTCTTTCTTCAAAGAAGTTACGTTTGTTGCTTTATTTTCTTGCAACCAGAAGACCTGGGGGTAAAAGTGGGTGATTGGGGAAGGACGGGTAGGGAACACATTTTTGGAATAGAGACATTAATCGGTAGAACAGGATAGTTTATTTAATTACCTTCACTATAACTCTGGCCATTCGTTCTGGGTCTCCAATAGGAGTTTCCCTTCCACCTCTGGCCCTTGGTGAAAGATTCTTTTGAGTTCCAGCCCAATGATCTTCTCTACACATTTTTCTTGAAAGATGCTGCCACTGTCAGAGTTTTACCTCCCACACATATTGTCATTCCCTGACCTTTTTTCCACCTGCCTTAAAAGGCATCTTCACTTCAACGTCCCCCATGCATCTGAAACTCAACGTGCCTGGTTTAAACTCATTTCTCTTCCTCCACCTTCTGCCTCTCGTGTTTCTTTTTCAGTTAATGGAACAATCACAAGATAAAAACTTGGGGATCACTATAGACTTCTCTTTTTCACTTATGGCCAATCAATCACCAAGACTTGAGATACTATCTTTTAGATGTCTCAAATCCATCTTCTCATTCCTGTTCTTACCATTACTTTATATTATGAAGCCCTTTTTAATAAATAGGTGGGATTATACTTTTCTTTAAGGACATCATTCACTTTCCTAAAATTCTTCAGAGAATCTCCTCTTATTAGAGAATGTCCAGATCACCCACCCTCTCCAACCTCATCCACCACAACTTCCCACATTGTGCCTAATGTTACCAAAGTCCATATGCCTCTCCACATGTAACATGCTCTCTCCTGTCTTTGCTTATGCCACTTTCTCTATCTGGAATGCCTTTTCCCTTCTTCACTTGACTAACTCCTATTCATCTCCTAAAGCGTAATTCAGCATTTACATAAAATCTTCTCTGCATGCCTCAGACCCACCCCAGGCTGGGCTAAGTCTCGGTCTGTCTCTCTCTATTCCTCTGTCTGCATATGTGTATGTATGTGTGCGGCTATGTTATATTGAAATTTTGTTTGTGTAATCCAATCAGACTCAGAGATATTTCATAATGTAGGACCCACATACCAACAGTTGCCACAAATTCTCCACCTCATACAAAAGCTCCTGTTTCACTGTCATAGAATCTGCTGTTAAAAAATAAACTTGGAAAATTTAGCAAATTGGTGAATTTGAAAGTGACAAAAAGGGAAGCTTTTATTAATAAGCAGGAATATCTTGAAAGAGTTGATTCTGGAAAAAGATGCTAGATTTTTTATAACAGCTTTAGTAAGGTATGATTGACATACAATAAATTAAACTATTTAAAGTGTCCAATTTGATAAATTCTGACACTCATGTAATCATCACTACTATTAAGATTGTGAACCCATCTGTCACCCCCCCCAAAGTTTCCTCATACCTCTTTGTAATACCTCTCTCCTGCCCGGGCACTTCCTGCCTTCGTCTCTCATTTCCAGGCAATCACTGATATGCTTTCTGTCATTATAGATTATTGTGAATTTTCTACATTTTTATGTAAATAGAATCATACTGTAAATACTTGTTTTTGCCTAGCTTCTTTCACTCAGCATTATTTTGAGACTGATTCATGCTTTGTATATATCATTCTTTCATTTTTATTGTCATGTAGTATTCCACTGTATAGATTATAGATATGCCACAATTTATCCTTTCCCCTGTTGATGGGCATTTGAGTTGTTTCCAACTGGAGACTATTATAAATATAAAAGCTGGTATGGTAGATCTACCTGCAGATTACCAACAGTGAGTCATGCCCTTGTATGATCCCCTCCCCATGAGTGTGAATAAAACCTATGACTTATTTCTAGCCAATAGCATATGACAAAGGTGATTGGATAGTCATTGCTGTCATTATGTTACATTACCTAAGACTCCATCTTAGCAGACAGAGTTTCTTCTGCTGGCTTTGAGGACATAAGCTGTCATATTATAAAAAAGGGCTGCATGGCCCGGGACTGCCTGCAACCTCTAGGAGCTGAGAGTAGCTCCTGGGTGGCAGCCAGCAAAAAAATAGGGACCTTGGCCCTCCCAACTGCAAGAAATTGAATCTTTCAATAACTGTGTGAGTTTGGAAAAGACCTGACCCCCAGGAAGGAATGCAGCATGGCTAACACCTTGATTTCAGCTTTGTGAGATCCTGAGCACCCAACTAGGCCATGCCTGGACTACGAAATAACAAATGTGTGTTGTTTTTAAGCTGTTAAATTTGTGGGAATTTATTATGCAACAATAGAAGATTAAGCTAGATGATACGAACATTCGTGTAAATGGCTGGATCACACGGTGCATAAGTTTTAAAAGATTGCCAAACTATTTTCCAAAGGAATTTTACAATTTTACATTCCCACCAGCAATGCATGAGAATTCCAGTTCCTTCACATTTTGGCCAACACTTGGTGTGATCAGTCTTTTAAGTGTTAGTCATTCTAAAGGATGTAAAGTGGCATCCCATTTTAACTTGCATTTCCCTAAAGCCTGTGATGATGAGCATCTTATCATGGTACCTATTTGTCATCCTTCTATCTTTTCTGATGAAATATCTATTGAAAGCTTTTGTCCATTTGTTACTGGGTTGGTTGTTTCTGTATTACTAAGTTTTGAGAGTTCTTTCTGTATTCTGGATACAAATCCTTTATCAGATAAATGATTTACAGAGAGAAAATTTGCAAACTAGTGACTAGTCTGCCACTTGTTTTTTCATTGTCTTAACAGTTCTTTCAAAGAATAGAAGTTTTTAATTTTGATAAAATCCAACTTACCGATTTTTTTTCTTGTATAGATTGTGTTTTTGATGTTGTATCTAAGAAATTCTTGCCTAATCCAAGATTACAAAGATTTTCTTTTACTCCTTCTTGTAGAAGTTTTATAATTTTATACTATCTATTTAGGTCTATGATCCATTTTGAGTTAATGTTTGTATGTGGTAAAAGGAATGGATCAAAGTTTGTACGTGTTTCTCTCTCTCCCCCCTTCCTTCCTTCTTTCCTGTCTCTTTTCTTTCCTTCCTCCATCCTCCTTTCTTTTTCCTCCGTCCATTCCTCCCTTTCTTGCTCCCTCCCTTTTTCCTCCCTCCCTCCCTTCCTGCATTCATGTCTTCCCATATGGATATTCAGTTGTCCCAGCAACATTTGTTGGGACTATCCTTCCTCCAGTGAATTATCTCAGTACCTTTGTCAAAAATCAGTTATCCAAGGGCACCTGAGTGGCTCAGTTGGTTAAGCGTCTGCCTTCTGCTCATGTCATGATCCCAGGGTCCTGGGATGTAGCCCCACATCGAGCTCCCTGCTCAGTGGGGCACCGGCTCCTCCTGCTCCTCCCTGCTCCTGCTCTCTATCTCTGTCTTTCTCTTTCAAATAA